AAAGAAGAATTATAGTCTGTCTTCTGAATGATAAAGCAGTATAACTAGCATTAAACACAGCTGAAATTTTGTAATGACCAAACCTCTGCTCATCCAAATCCCCAATAGCATTAACTCCCTAGAATTGGGCTGTAAATTTGATTAGCCTTACAACAGACATGAGACACAAATGTTCTTCCTTATACAGTCGTATTAAGTGGCTGCAAAAGAAGATGACAAGGCATTGTAGAGCAGCGCATCCAACCTTTTTAAGCTAGGGACAAGCTCCAGCTCGCCCAGCTTTCAAAACTACATTTAAATACAGGGTAATTTCATGAATTCTGATATAAGGATTACATATGGTGAGGTGAGGGGGGATTTAGAAGCTGCGGTCCTCCTATAAATCATCCAGAAGCTTTTCTTCATGCTTTAGTTCTCTCGATTGACATTTTCCATGAAAGCTACGTCACTGAATCTTAGCTTCTGTCCATGCTTGCTTAATTTGGTGCTTTTTTTATATACCTTCATTACTCTTGCGCTGTCCTTTATCATGAAATTTGATGCTGTAACTCCTGGTGTGTTCCAATTTTACATGGAACTAATCAGAGTATTGGATAAAAAATGTTCTTTAAACAAGCTAAAGGTTATAGAGGCATCCTGGAGCGGATTTCTAGAAGTGAGAGTCTGGGACTAGAACGAACAGTAAATTATGAGACTTTAAAGATTTCCAGGTCCACAGAGTTGCAGCAGCTTCTCTGGTGAGCTGACAGCACGCGCCACGGCACAACGCCCCACGCGTGGCTATCGCAGCCAGCACCACCCGCAACGCTGCCTCCGGGTTTCGGTGCTGCCGAATGCCCCGCACGGTCACTCTGCCTCATCCCGGCTTCTCCAGCCACCAGTGCCCTGAGGGATGGGGTACCCGTGGGTCTCAGGCTAGGCACCGTGCATCTGGTGATCTGAGAGGTCCCAAAGTACGCACCTCCTAGCAGGCTAGGAGCTGCAGAGTTCTGTTGTTACTGTTATTAATTTATTGTGGGTTTATTTTCATTTCTTTCACTAGGTTGTCCTGATTACACATTTCTGGTGTAGCTTTACATTCTGATCCCCTGGTTTTCATTGTCGTTTGGACACAGTCCCATTTGGAGTGAATTTCTGAAATGAACCCTGATTCACTGATGAATCACGCTACTTCTGAGACAAAAATAAAAGAAAAAGCTAGAGCAGTTTGCTAGTTATGGAAACAAATTTCTAACGTTGAGAATAAAACCACAGATACATACAAATGGAAAATAAGAAACAGTTTTACGGTAATGAGAAACGGAAACATGGGAAGAGTACCGTTATGGATTTTGAGATCCAGTATTCCTTTTTATCTCTTAATTAGATAGTTTACACAGCAGTTGTTTTATAAATACATATTTGGCCCTACTGGACATTTGGCCATAATGGAGATTTCACAATACTCCTAAATAGTGCAGCCTGGCTGAGAACCAGGTGGTGCTTAGCCATGTGCTACTTAGTTTAGGGGGTAAATGGGAACTATTTTTTGTTCCTCATATTTGATATTTTGTAGGGCTTGGACACTATGACCAGGGCTCATAATTAAATCTTTTAATTGTTTTAATGAAGGTGCTTCAATTTATCTTGTAATCTCCATTTTATGACCTGTCCCTGTGAACTGCATGGCAATGGTGATTCATGACTCATTAAGTGTTGAGAGATCTGTCTCCTTGGGCCTGCCAGCCGGCTCCCTCCTCCACCGGGGACAACATGGCATGGGCTTGAAGCTGCCCATGCAGGTGGAGAAAGGGACCATTCGCATTTCTGGAGTTGACACGCCATCCTTATGTCCTCCGGCACAAATGCAGTGTGCTGCATCGAATTGGCCGGTGTGCCATTGGTTGGGTGGCCCTGATCCGAAGTTAAAATTTCCCTCCTCACCAGCTGCCCCAACTTCCCAAACAAAGCAGTTGTGCCTTCTGATGGTTTTACGGCTTCACAGGAACTGCTAAAATAAGCCAGCTCTTCAAACACCTGTTGAAGAGTCCTTGTTAAAGTCCTCATAAATAATGACATGTAATGGTAACACACCTCCAGACCCTCTGACAGGGATGTGAAATAGCTGGGCCTCTCTGGCAGTAACTGTTTTTCTATTTCTTCAGTTTGGACTCTCAAACGAGCAAGTGGTTTTGCCAAACTATGGGTTTGTTCTTTTATTCAATATTGTTATAACCAATAAAATGTATAGCCAAATTGCGAAGAACAATGTTACTCCTGTTATTACCAAGAGCACCTTTTAGTAGCGGCAGCTCGGCAGCTGGCTGTGGGTGCAGCTGGTCCTACTCATGCTACAGCAGGCAAGGACCTCTCTTTGCTTCAGCAGTCCTACTTCGCATAGGCAGGCACCGATGGAGGGAGGCAGTGGCTTGAGGGAAGCACCCTGAGATGATAATTGATTCACAGGTCACTCGGTGGGAATTTACGCACCTATGGCAAAAGCTATGTAGACCTCAGACATCTTGCTGGCCGTCACCTCCACTCTTTCCCTGACTGCCAAACAAAATACTGCAAAGACAAAGGCTTGAACATATGGAAAAATAAACAGCCCAGTTCCCTACATTACCGGCCTTCAACAGATTTCCCCACTTCCTAATCAAGAACTCCTCTCACTGATTCCCCCACCCCAAAAGAAAGTAGATACCCTCCCATGCTGGGAGGAGGTGAGAGGAAGAGCTTGTACCTTCCAAATCCTTCCAAAGATGTACGTTGTTGAAATACTTCCTTGTTCCCAAAAGGAGATACAGATGGAAACCCACACTAGGAAACCAAACATTGTAATCTGTCATCCAGGATTGGTGATGATGATGTGATCCTCAGTACCCTTACAGTATATCAAGGAAATTGATTTACAGCTCTCAATGTGAAAGACACGCTTGCACAGAAACATTCATCCCACACATAAAAGACTTTCAGATTTGAACTGGGTAAACCTTTACTACGGCACATCACTTTTCACTGATTCACATAAGGGTTTGTAAAGATCTTAGCGGCAGCACTTTAAATACGCACTAAACCTCATTAAGTACTTGCTGCGTTCCAGATGATAATGCCATGGTATTCTTGCAACCCATCACAGCCAGATGCCTCAGAGGCCAAACCCCACCTTCCTCAACAGCATGAAAACCAGCGCATTCATCAAATTTTGCTGCAAGGATTCCTTCCAACTTCAGCCCTTAGTCTCCATTTCTCCATGCGTCTGTGAAAGTGTTTCTTTGCACAGTGGTGTTGCATCCAAGGAGGGTGTGGGAATTCACAGCAGTGCTGTCAGGCTCATTCATCCCTGAGCTACGTTACACTATGACAAGGTTCCCCTGTGGCTACTCCCTAAATTTTTTGCTGAGAGACATTTTGCCCTTTCCCATTCCCCAAGTTCCCCATTTACCCAGCAGTGCTTCTCAAACCTCATTCCAGCCATGAACAACTTAAACGCTGCTTAAACACCCGTAGACTGTTAGCCTTCTATTTGCACAGAACAAAATCCTTCTGGTAATCCCCTATATTCTTCTCCTTGGCTGAGGAGTTAAAGGTGATATACTTTCCAGTATGAAACTTTTTAAATGGATCTTAGATCAGATATGCTTCTTTGACACTCATGCATGTAAAAATAGCAAAGTCCAGGCCTCGGTGACCTCCTCTGGATATATTAAGATATTAAAGGTAAGCATATGCAGTAAGTGTTTGCAGGACTGAGACTACAGGGACTTAGTACACCACAGTCATAGTGATAACTTGCCTTACTAATTTAGAAGGTGCAAAATTAAGATTCAAATCACAGGCTCTTCCCGAAAGTACAGGGTATACTTTCAAAGCAAAAGATTTTTTTCGTTAGATGTTATTCACTAATATTCAGTAATGTTGGCAGTAAGCCAACCAATTGATTTTTGGCTAAACCAATGTATTTATTCTACCATAAACTCTTATCAACAAACAAACAAACAAGCCCAGATTTACTCTGCTTTGCGGAAGGCCTGACATCTAGTCCCAGGAATTTCAGTGGTTAATAATGCAAATGCCACACTGAGATTACAACTATACTGGGGAAGCCGAGATTCATATTGTTCAATGGCACCATCTTCAGTCAGCTACAAAGCTGATTATTAACTGGCTTTCAGAAGAATTCATGTTCATATGTCCTAAGTCAGGAAAAAAACATGGTATCAGTACTGCTGAACTTGCATGGTACAACCTCAGGAAATTCACTGTTGCAGCAGAAATATCAAGAGTATGGGTTTCCCCAAAAAAGGGAGAATCTCTTTGAGAAGAGAAAAATGTTGTCTGAAAGAGAAAAATGTTGATTATGTAGTCAATTCTGGGAAAGCGTTGTCTTGGTTTGTTTTTCTTAGAGGGCTGATTGGTTTTGATTAATTATTTGTGAAGTAATTTGTACATTCAGACCAAATCATGCAGCATTCTGGCCATATGAATGCTCAGAAACATCTCATAAATTAAATACCGATTCCCAAAGTTTGGAATTAACTTTTGTTGCTTTGAAAATAGTACTTACTGTCCTAATTCCTTATCTTTTTTTATGCGTTAAAACTAAAAGTATTTAAAAAAAAAAATGAACCTGATAATAGTTAAAGCCCATCCTCTTCTTAGGTGATAGTATAGATATTTGTGGGAGTCTAATACCATAAATAAATGGCATAGTATGTTTATTCTTATCACCTGAATGTGACTTTTAACTCAAAATAAAATTATTGGGACATCTGTTTGTGATGCAGAATTTTAGAAAATGGTTTTAGTTTTATGTTTACCAGAAATGTATAGCTAATTGCCAGCCAGCTTCTCCCCATCCTCTTCCTTTCTGCCTGTATGCTTTCAAAATGGGACTAGTATATGTAGGCACTTTGTTCTTACAGTTAAACCTAAGAGAACTGAATGAATGTGGATCTAAGAATAGCTTTTTCATCCTTCCAAGGCTGATGAGTATTTCACGGTTTGTGTTTCCTTTCCAGCTGACCCCCTGGTTGGAAGTATTGCCACTCAGTATATGACTAACAGAGCAGAGCACGACAGAATGGCCAGACAGTGGACCAAGCGATATGCCACATAGGAACCTACTCTAGGATTTGCTGGACCTGTGCAAGCACATTCACTAAGTGCATCAATAGCCCTTCCCTTCATTCTTATTTTTTATTAAATTTTGAACCATTTTGTGACAAAAGGTTGTCCTTTCCTTTTGGTTTTATTTTTATTTTTATTTGTTTTGGGGTTTTTTGTTCTGTTAACTTGAAAGTTGTTTCCCTCAAATGTAGGCAGGGAATTTTGGTTATCAGTGCAAAGAATGTTGGATCTGTAATAGTATAGAGCTTTGTCACAAAGCTTTGTATTAATGTGTGGGGTTTTTTTTCTTTCATGTGGTTTTGGGGAAAACAAATGAATTCAGAATTATATCTCGTTTCTACTTAAATGTAGTGTTTAGGGTTATTTTTTTGTACTGAAGTCTTTAATGGTGGGTGCATGCTACTGGGAACAAGTTTTGTATAAAAGCTTAAAATCAAGAATCACTGTGCATTACTAAGACTGTGTTTATCACTAGCCTTCTGTTTCCCACACAAAAGGCTATTGCGTTGAACAAATTAATATGTATTTTGATTTACTTAAAAGAAAAAAAGTGCTTGTAAATTTCTTAGGGACCTGCCACTTTTGACTGTGGATCAGTTGATGTACACTTGTATTATTAAAGCACTCAATAAAACACTGTGGCTGATAAATGCACTTCTTGCAAGATGGTGCTTTTTGCAGTATAGGCTGCATAGTCCTCAAATAATGCAACTCCAGGTTAAGCAACTATTTTTAGACCTAAACTATTCATTTCTTCTCAGCAATGCATTTCTTAACTTAGACTTCTTCATTGTGTGTATGTTTCATATACAAACATCTTCCAAATTTTAAGGCCTTTATTTCATATGCTGGTGCTCAGGTCAGCTATTCAGAAGCCTCTTGCTACATCTTTTATACTATGGCTTCACTATATCCATCTTGTTACATGTAAAATAGTTGGCTATAAAAATAGCCTTGCAGTGAAAGCAGAATATTGATGATGATTTTATACAGCCGGCCTCATTTTGCCTTTCTCCAAGCTCTTTAATTGTAAAAGCAACTGTTTGTTATTTAAAAAAATAAATGAAGGTTTTCGATGGGAAAATTGAGCCCATTGCACCAATCATTCTCAGCACGTTCAATGGCAAGAGTATTACTATTCAGATTTGACCTTCAGGCTAATTTTAGATACGCAGCCATAGGAGGAAAACTTCTACTTGGCTAAGGAAATGTGTGGGTGTTGTGATTTAGAAAATATATAGTGTGATGCTGATATCTGAATGTTCTTTGTGTTGCAAGGCATATTGGAAAATCCCTGTCTCATATAATTAAACGTTACAGATGCTATACACAGTGCTTGCCTGCCCTCTCCCCTCTCTCCTTGCCTCTTATGTTTAAAGAAGATCTTATCTTAAAGAAGATACATTGCAATAGGGACAGTATAAACATACAGGGAGACCTAATCCCATTACACTCCAACCCAATCCAACCATCCTGAAAACTAAAGCAGTCAAGGTGACACCACAGGGCCTCTACGCCAACCACTGCACTGCTCAGCATTTCCAGGCTGTTTTGGTTTTCTCTCAGCCATTTGCTAATAACTGAACACACATACAGCTTGAATTGATTGGTGAGTTGTCCTCTGTGTGTGAAGAGAAGCTGAATGTTGACTTTGTTGTAGGTGGTATATAACTACTGCCCCAAGAACCACAGGGATCTCAAAGAAATAATCAGTCTCTTTCAATCAAAGCAAACAGAGTCTTTTGGTGTCTGCAGAAGCCAACTGTTTACAAGCCTGGTCATACAACATTTTGAGGCCAACAGATCCTAAATACCAATGCGAAAGAACAATAACAGTTCAAAAATAAAACAAAACAAAACCCCAAAACCAGATTTCTCTGAGCCAGAACACCTTCTCAGGACAACTGTTACACATGCTTCTCTTGAAAGTTGCTTCCACCATGCAACTTGCCACGAAGTACCTCCACATCTGAAGGGAAACTTCCTGCTGTAAAAATACAACAAAGGGATAAAAGGATTAAAAAGAACAACTGCATCTTGCCCAGTACAGTGACTGCATTACTTCTCCTCTTACCCCATCTGCTGAAGCTATTGCTGCCATAAAAGACCTGTATCCCCTGAGACAGCAATTAATGGGCAATTTCAGATTTCTTATGAATTACTTTAAGTGTCTGCCACTCTGCAGCCTTTATTTACACTCATCTGAGCAAAATGCAGTAATTTCCCAGGTACATTTTAAACCTGCTTGGAAAAAAGAAGTCTTTAATTCCTACTATTTTTTTTTTTCCAAAATATAAAGAAGACATTATAAACAGAAGAGCCTATGGTATCTCTAAGGAAGACGTAACTGAAAGACAGCTGAGGTACCTTGGAGGGGGAATCACAGAATTCTTAATAAATGACTATTCTCAGTTCATCAGCTCTCACTTGCCTTTCTTACCAATCAAAAGCTGCGCAGTTTGAATTTGCAGGTAAGTTGCCCTTTGTGTGAACCTGAACAGTCACTTTGTCCTAGATAATATAAAACTACTGCCTTAAGAACCATGGGGATCTCAAAGAAATAATCAGAAAGGATCAACCCATGTTGATTAAAGCAGATGCAGAGTCTTCTGGCATCTGCAGGAGCCAAATGTTTGCAAGTCTGGCCATAAAACATTCTCCTCTATTTGCAAATCTGCTCTACTTGCCTCCCAAGAAATTCTTTTTCTTCATCTGCTAAACCTGGGAAAGATGAAGCGTTATTTGAAACCTGCTGTTGTCGCTGAGGAGAAATGAGCCATCCCCAAGAGAATTCAGTTTGCCAGCAGAGCCCCACTGAACAACAATATATTGGCATAGTCTCTTTTTCTCCTTTTCTTTTTCCTACATCTAGAAAACATTGCACGTTACTCTGTCTCACTTTTGCTCTTCAGATGCAATGCAAATTTAGCTGATTCCTGCTTCCTCTTTTATGACAAACCATCTTTCTAACTTCTTCTAGATGGTGAAGCCCACATGCTGCCCTCCTACAAGTGGGTATGAAGGTCTTTCAAATGACGCGCACATAGTAAAACATTCAATAGCATACAGTTATCCTAAAACAACATATAAAGGCCATCACTTCAGCAAATCTCCGTATTTTCTCAGGGACACACAAATGCTGAAGCTGGGTTTTGTTCTTTAAAGGCATCTTACAGCTCTTCTGTATTCAATTGCAATATCAGGTAAACAATATTTAATTTCCAGTAACCCCAGCTATATGTCCCATACTCTTTGAGTTCAACTCAGATGAAGCTGAATTCAGGGAACTCTCCAAACTGTTATTACTATCCAAACACGAATTATTTAAGTGTCCTTCATATCCCCCTGTCCAACTGACCAGCTGATTTCCCTGCCCAGAAAACTGCAGAACAACATAGCTTAAATTACGGTACCCAAACCCATCCTGTATTTCCAGAGACAGCATTTCCAGACTGCTCCAGGAGTGAGTTTTAGCAGCTCATAACCCTTTTGATTACATGCATTGTGAGTGATTGCAGCCAAACAGTTAAAATCCATTAAAACCAGCTGCTGTGCCATGAATAAGGCAGGAATAATTCCCCTTCAAAGATCTTTCCTCAGGTTTTCCTATTGTGAGCTGCAGATGGATACAGAGTCATATCCCATGCCCAGGCAATGGGCAGCAGCTCACAGCCCTTCTTCCCTGCTACCCTGTGCAACCATACCATGTAAGTATGAAACACCAGAGGTGTTGTGCCCCACAAACCCCAAAACTGGGCCTCTCTTCAAGGCCCTCTCAACCTTTTAAATTCTGGCCCAACGCAGGCTCTGGGCGCCGTGCATGCTCTGAGCTGCTGTTACAGCATGCTGTTACAGCATGCTCCCTCTCGCTGGCTGTCTTATCTCCAGCATTAATCCCTCTGACTTACTCCTCATTCACCCTTTCCTTCTCTCTGGCTGCTTTCTTCTGCTTCACTGATTCATTACTCGCAGCTGAGAGGCCACCCAAGACACTGATCCCATTTCAAATAGCTCTTCCTGAAGTTGCCTGAGCATAGAATCTCTGTCCCCCCCAGTACATGCCCAGAATGGGCCCCCAGGCCCCTCTCTGCTCCCCCTTGCCTAAAGCAGTGCCCACTGCAGCAGGAAAAGCAGCGGTGGGTCCACTGGAGTACGAAGATGCCACACAATGATTCACAGCACAGCAACTCCCAGTTACTCTACCCCCAGCGTTATCCTGGGGTCCCTTTTCTCCTTGCCCGTTCTCAGAAACTTCTCTTGTCTCTGAAGTTGGACATCTTGCCCCAGGCCCAATGCGCTTGCCTGCATTTTGAGTTGGGCAGACTAAAGCAAGGACTCAGAGTAAAAATTCTGGAACTTCCAAAGTCTGACGGTCCAGCCTTGGCAGCCATGATTCCTGCAGAGCCAGAGCTGCCTGCTGGTTTTCCATCCTCAATTGCTCTTTCTTCTCTTCTCCTTTTCATTCCCTTTCAGTTCTCCTCCTATCCTTTCCTCCACAACATCAATGCTAAATCCTGAAGCTTCCTTCTCCACCTTTCCTTCACCTCAGTCAGGGCTCTGTTCTTCCCTTGGTGCTAACGAGACCATGTCACATAACACTGGGCCTCCCGGAGCTTCCTGAAATCCCCTGATTTTTAGGTCTTAGAAGCAAGAAAGAGCTTTGTATGAATTAAGTACTTCCTCATTGTGCCACGCCTGGCACTGGCTATAAACTAAATCACTTCTCCCACACACGTCATTAGCAGTAATGAAATCCGGGCTGGCCTGCCTCCTTAGCATGACATCCATATGCAAATGCATTTCCTCAGCTCAAACGATCTGCAGAGCCAACACATGGCTGCTTGGGACACCTCCAGCAGCCTCTCTCAGGTCACAACTGGAATATATTTGGGGACTACTATTTACCAGGAAGAGTTTTATGATACCTTTAAATCCATCATTCTGCACCCTAATTCCATCATGAACTTTAATAGGGACCTGCAGCACTTCGGGATAATGAAAAGGGCAAAGCAAAACATCCCTTTCATGTCTACTTTGGTTGTGAAAGAAAGTAGTCACAGGCTAATGGATGGTTGAAATAAAGACAAGGCTACTAAGACATCCTAATCCCTTGCCAGTCCTGAATTAGAAAAATCCCACTTCACGTAATGGCTAAATAAAAGCTGTGTTTACTTCTATAGATTTTGCAGAGCTGAATCCAAAAAAACCCGCTGTCCAGGTGTCCCAATAGTAAATGTGGAGGGTCACATCATGCATCTCAAGAGAGGTTTTCTAGGGAAATGCTTCCACTAGGAAGAGCTTCCTGGCACCCTCATCTCCACCTCTGTGCCGGGCTGCACGCAGGACTCCCCCCTTGGCAATCCCTTGGGAAACAAGGGCTGGAAACAAGGACCTCGGGTCATTCCTTATTGTCACAGCTCCTCAAATACACTCACTCACAACAGGCATTTGTTGCTGCAGAATCAGTGCTGGGGTCCCCTTTTGTGTCACTGAGGACCTTGGGGTCAGGAAAAACAAAGGGTCACACTTCAGTTTCTGTGAAATGCCTCCTTTCTTTGCAGTTGACTCATACCCTTTGTAAGACCCTGAATGGAGTCTCTTCACATGAATGGAGCCACACAGATTTCAATACAGCCTTGCTCCTTTCTCCACTT